TAGCAATGAAACTTGAAATTAGCTTTTATTAATTGAAGTGAGGGATCGAGCAATTAAGTTAATTAAAAAACTTGTTTACGACCTTAGAAGCTTGTTCAACTATTTTTAAAACTATAGGTTAATACATATTTTTATTAAAAAGGTTTTTGAGAGGAAGTAATTTTTGTATTTTAAAATGTAAAGGAGATAAATAATCTTTAGCCCCATTCAATCTTGAAGTCTAAGAATCATTTGCTATTCTTCGTTCTCTAGTTTTAATATAATTTGCAATATCAAATTCACCCATGCTTTGTTTTCAATCCTTATAGTTAATTTTCAGTCCATATAATTTAATTTCATAGTTTCTATTTCCTTTTATTTGCTCCATCTAAGATATATTAGTTCCTATATTTTGAAAAATATTCAAAGGATCATGATATGGCGCAAAAATAGTATTAATTTTGTTGAGGTGGATTTAACACTGTAAAATTCATTAGATGACTAGGGGAAAAAAAAACATGCAAACCTGGAAAAAGTTAAATTGTCTGATTAAAAATTTGGTCTAATTAAAAAATAGGTAAAGGAATCAAGAGTGAGAGGGAGAAGGGCATCAAAGAAGCATAGGAACTTCAACTCATGATCCTTTTTAAGTATTTTTAAAAATAAAAGGGCTAACATTTCAAACAGAACAAATAAAAATTGAAGGATGAAAAACCATGAAATAAACTACAGCAGCTAAAAAGAAAATCTGATTAAAGTATAAGGACCTAGAGCGGTATTTTTCCCTTGTGTGTGTATCTCTCTCACACATCATCAAAAAGAAGTTACAAGTTTACAATTACATGAAAATGTGCTTCAGGATATTAGAGACCGACCATGGCTCCTCTCAATTGAAAAGATCTTTAAAGTGGTCTATCATTGAATATAGACTATAGGGATCAAAAATTGTTATAATTGGTAGTTTCTTTTTTATTTATTTGCATGTTCTCATTATTGCTTTTCCATTTTGTTCTCTTTAAAACCCAAAACAAAATGTCATTAAGGGAAACAAAAAAGCTTTTGATTGCCGCCATCAAGTAGAACCTTTCAACTTCAATAATTGACAACTAAATGGATCGTTGAAATTGAGAGGACCCGTATTTGGATATTAGATGTAGAGATCTGCGATATTAAAATCAAAATCCAGGAATTGACTGCAAAAGAAAAACATGAAAATCCAGGCCCTAACCAAATGGCCACTTCATCAGTTTGCTATGTATTTTTAGATATATAGTCCACACATCGGCGCAGGAAAAAGCCAAATTTGGAGTCACCAATCTTGTCTCTTTCGAGAAGAAAAAACAAAAGTCCCTCTTAATGTTCGCTTTTGGTGCTTATCACGAGTGCTCTTCAAGCTTGGCCAACGCCCCTTCATTTTACTCTAAAATGATCTTTTTTGTTCATTTAAATTAATTTTTATGTACTTTTAATATTGTATTTATTAATACAAAAATTATAAACAATTTTAATAAATAAATATACTTGTTTACATACACTTATTTCATTAAACCCATTCTTTCAATCATTAACAATAAATATCTATTTAACTTTTGACAATAACTCATTTAAAATTAACAACTATTCATTTAGGTTTATATAAGTGTTATTTATATAATGAACTTAATTATATAAGTGTTAGTTAGTTTATATAATGAGCTTAATTGTATAATTGTTAGTCCTTCATTAACAAATATCTATTTAAATTTTGACAATAACCCATTCTTAATTAACAATAATACTCTTCAACTTTAACAAGTAAAATATATGAAGTTTTAAAACTCTCAATTTATAATTGACCATGTTAAATTAATAAGTAACATTAGTAAAATAACAAATATCATTCTAAAATTAATAGTGCACCGTTATGTTATAATAAAAGTGGCATCAATGCCAAAGCTTTGGTTGTCAGCAGCCTTATTGACAGCAAGATCTATTGCAACCTTGCTGCTAGTAGGGTCTTTGGTGATGATTAAGTATCTAGTGCCAATGTAAACAGTAGGGGTTGATTTTTTTTTATTATTTTAAACTTTAAGGACAATATGATTATTTTATATAAAAAATTAATTTCAACTAAGGACTAAGAAATTGCAGTGAATTCATACGGTCCTTGACTCATTTAAGCTAGCTATAGTGGTCCGTGAATAATATTTTCCCAAAAATCATTGCAACTTGTTTTATGCACTTAATTTATTAATTGGAACAATAAAGCTAAATAATAATTTGGTAATTCAACTAGTAGTTGAGCCGGGTCAACACAATTAGGACTACAATAATATAATATAATTATAAGATACATAAATATTGGTATATAACCTTGAAAAGAGTAGTATATTAAAAAAGGCATTAATTCACAAGTAAATGAAAATCCTTTGCATAAATCACACACACTTCAACAAAAATAAATCATTGATAATGAATTATTTTTTTAAAGGCTAAATTTACCTAAAAAAATTAAATTAAGTCAGAACAATTGTCACATCTCAAAAATTAGGTGTGACCGGCACAGGACATAGACACAAACCTCACATCCTTTAAGCCGTGATAGGAAGAACTCTGAAATTTATACGTTAAACACATTAATAGATTAATTAAAAATTATTACAATATTAAATCAGATATTCAATTTTAAAATAAATGTGAAGATTCTACTTGTAATTTATGTGGAGTACCTAAGGCCAGACGCCAGACACCAACATAGGTATAAAGTTCAAATTTTTATTACATTATGATTTGACTAAAATAATTCTTCTGCTTCAATTCAACAATAAAACTCCTCAATGGATATCTCGAGTCATGAGTTCAACTATACCATCTAAGATCAAAATATCTTTTCCAATGAATAACATCCCAATAATAATTAATAGAACATAAATAAAATGAAAAGTTTGTAATAGTTATGTAACTTAAAAAGACAAAATTTTCATAATTTTTTTTAAACTTCATAATAAAATGGCTTTATAAATTTCAAATAAAATCTTAAATCATTGAACTATTATAGAAATGATAATATCACTTAATTTCAAGAAAGCACATAAATGAAATAAATATTTATAAACAAATTACTAAATAAAAACCAATAAAATATGAAATCATAATATAGGGACTTATCAAAACAATTAACAAACATGGACACACAATTCATGAGGGTAAGTAACCAAACACAGCCAGAGCCATGAAACAAATGTGGACACACAATCCACGAGGACAATGCTAATCAAACGCGGCTTGAAGCCACGAAACAAACGTGAGTATGATGCTCACGAATAATCATCCCTCCGTTCCACATACGTTGGCCATCACACGGGGTTAGCCCCTCCTATAAACACCCTGCTAGCTAGGTGTACCATAGCGTGCCAAGGGCTAATGGAACTACCATTAGCAATCAATGTTTTGTATACAGTCCCTTTTTAAAACCATTTTCAAACATGCGAGAAAATCATCACTTTTAAGATACAATTATCATTCTCAAAATCAAATTTGTATGAATACTTTTCAGCATTAAAACTTGCCAAAATCAAATTTCATATTCGATGCTCATGCTTGCATTTATTGAATAAAAAAAAATTTCAATATTGAACTCGCATGAATCATTCTCTGTATTAATTCAATATTTGATAAAATAAAAATCTCATAATCAAAATTCAAACTTGATTTAATTGATCAAATAACATTTCAAATTTGATAAAACTAATTTCTCAAAAAAAAAAAATGTTAATCAACAAATATTCAATAATCGCATTAATGCTATTAAAATAATTTTCAAAAAAACATAATATTTTAGTAAAAGAAATTTTGATTGAAAAATAATCAATTGGGACGCTATCCACTTAACTGAAATGTTCTTAAAAATTCAAAGTTCATCCCTTATAATTTCAATTGAATTTCTTTTCCTTTAATACCCAATAAAATATATTAAAGTTTAGTTAACTTTGAACAGTTCAAAAGTTCCTTCCCAATATTATCACCCCCAATATTTAAATATAATAGATTCAAAATTTTAAAACTAAGACTTTACAAATAAAAATTGCTCCATAACTGTTCCTAATTATTCCATAAAATTAAACTTTTTTGTTAGAACGTCAAATGTACATTATTTCCAAACCACACCATAAAACTTTTTTTTTTTTACTCAACTAACTATACATATCTTCATCACCACTTCATTGTCAAATTCCTTTACACTATTCGTGTGAAGTTCAAGAGTCATTAACACCCAAACTATACACGCTTCTTATATCTTATATATGAGTTAGTTAAATCCCAAAAATACATATTCAAACAAAATTTCTTCTAAAAAATATTTTATCAAACACTTGGCAAGCATCCAATCATACACCAATACCAAGCTCCTCCTCGTCAATTTTAACCCCTAAAATTTTACAATAAAGATATTTGAATCCATTAACTTCCAGAATGTATATATACACCTCAATGAAAATTAATCTCAAGCAAAAAAAAGTCACAATTAGTATCTTTACATGGCACACAGTTAGAGAAAAAAAAAAAATCCACAACTCAGCCAAACACACGCACAGAACAGCAAAAGGGAAGAGAATTTAAACTTCTATACCTCATATTACCAACCAGAGATAGAGAAGGGAAGGAGAATTTGAACTCATGGTAAACAGGGAAAGGGAGATTTTCAGTTATTGCAGCAACATAGAAAGAAAATGAAGGGACCAACAGCAACTTTTCCAGTACAACAATTTTTTTTTCAACTAGATTCTAGTTCCCCATCCCACACCCATGGACATCACAGCACGAGAAGAATTATGATTTGATTATTAATTCATACAAACACGTGCAGATCAGTCAAGAAGAAGGGTTCCAAACTTGTCACCTGAATCACATTGACAGAAGCAAAGAGAGGAAGAAGAAGGTGTAACTCAGCAACCGTGAAGGAGGAGAAGGAGCAGAAAATATGAAGCACCCCCATCAGCACGCCGACGATGTGTAAAAAGAGAGGGACTCAGACTGGAAACAGAGTGGAGAGAACTGAAATTCCAGGTCCACAAGCACACCGGACGACGTCGCAGCAAGGGAGGGGAAAGCGATAGACGGTGCACCCCGGAGAACTCGCGACTCAAACTGCACTCTGGACTTCCCAGTACTGGCGACGGCTGAAAACGAAGAAGGAACAGGGGAGAAGCTTCCCGATCTCTCTATTCGCGGTGAATCACAAAATGAAAGGCCATGGGAAAAATCTGATCGTTATTTTATTATTAAGAGGGACATTTTGGTAATTTTATCAAGGTCTCAGCAAAACATAATCGCCTCTTTGCGCTAAGATGGTTTGAACATCGGACCGCGTAAATGTAATCCTGACGCCCATTCCATTGAACCCCCCTTTCACCTTATTATAATTACTCTAGAATTTATATAAAAAATACAATTAAAAAAATACGTTATTATTCACTATTTATTTTTATTTTATTTTATTTTATTATTTTTTTAAGTTATTACAACAATATCTTCTATTTCTTTAATTTTTTAAACCCATTATTACAATTTAAAATTTATTCTTTATTATTATTTTATTCTTTAAAATTTATCCCATACTGGTCGGCCTTCATTTTCAAGGTTTGACAATTGTAGTAGCTCACAAGTGCATGATTCAAACTATGAAAGATGATGGAGAAATCTCAAATACTTTGCTTGAGGACTAGACATGAGCTCAAGTGGTAGAGCTGAACTAAGATAAATTATGATTTACATTATTTCTTCCTTCAACTCTTTATATTTTTCAGCTATTATAGTTTATGCTCTATTTTTATGTTAAAATTTGAATTCAAAATATTTACAAGCTCTTAATCAAACTTCAATTTAGAAATATTGATTTTAATCATTTTTATACATATTAAGCTTGTAAAAATTTGATTAGCATATTTGCAAATGAAATTTAGAGCTTGAATTTGGTCAAACTTACTCCTATACCTTGTTTTATTGGGAAAAAAAAGTTTAAAGTATCAAAAAATTTGACTAACACCTAATTCATTTCTTTTTGGTGTTGCCGTATCTAATAGTTGTAACAATTCTTGTAATTCAATTTATATAAACCATTTGCAAATTAAGCACATGACGAAAGAAAAATTGTACATTCTACTTTCTTTTTTAACCAAAAGAAAATCAAAACAATGATTTTATTTCAAAGTATTTAAAAAAGACAAGCATCATACAAGACTTTGAAAAGTACACAATTAATAAAGATCAACCAAAGAATGAATGAAGACATTAAGAATTAAAAGAATACAAGAATTTTATCAAAAAAAAAAAAGAATACAAGAATATGTTAAACGAATTTCCATGGTCTTTATCCTTGGAAATTGAAATCAACATTTGGGTATGTCCAGTGGTGGGCGTAGCATCTGCTCGTCACGATTGTTACCATTCTTCACGATGAAAGTCATAGCCATTCCCCACGTCACATGACGCTCTAAATGACAATGCATGAACCATACACCTGCATATCCAGACCAAATTGAATCAATGTATAAGATCTAAAAATATAATCTTTAGGACTTCAAATATTTCTTGTGGAGTGAGTGTACGTAAATATTTATACCTGGATTTTTAGCGGTGAATCTTACGGTGACCCAGCCATTTTTGGGTATGGTCACAGTGTTTTGATAGGGAGGATCAACAAGATTGTAATTCAAAGGATCCTTGTCTTTGTCAAAGTTCCCAAATCCCCAACCCACCACATAGAAACCGTGTCCATGCAAGTGAATAGGATGTTCTGTTCCGGCAAGCACATTAGTTCCCTGAAGAACAAGCTCCACCGTGGATCCAAACTCTAGCACCTTCACCTCCGTGTCCACCGATGGAGTCCACAAGAATTGGGGCAGGTCATTGCCAGTAAAATCAAACTTCAATGGCGGTGTGTCCGGAAACTTGTCTCCGTAAACACCACTAGCGTTGTTATAGTAGGCCTGCAAAATGTTAGCCCCAGGAGGTAATTTGAAGCTTATATTGTTCATACTAGCGGCGAGACGATCTAGATTTGGGCCAACACACGTTGTACCGTTGTGACGTGGTAACGTGTTGACGGAGACTGTGTAGAAAAGCTCGGTGCTTATTTCTAATGGCACATCAATGGGGTGATTCTTGTCTGCTAAGCTTCTAAATTGGCTCAAGTGCTTGGTGGAGGCAGCAGTGTCGTTTGAGTTTGGAAGCAAAGGCATGGAAGGGACTGGTGAAGTGGAAATGTATCGGCTTCGTTTGTATTGAAGGATCGCAGTGGTGTTTGAGGGGTTAAATGGGACATTAGCCGAACTGGAATAAGCCTTAGCAGCCATGTAGTAGCGACCTATTGGTTGGTTTGCTTCAAGCAAGACATCCATAGTTTGACCAGGTGAGATAGTGATGTAATCTACTTTCGCTGGCTTGATGTAGCTTCCATCTGTCCCCTCCACTGTCAGTTTATGGTTTGCAATGCCAAAGAATAGGACTTGTTCCAGTGCAGCATTGACAATTCGAAGGAGGTAGGTTTTGCCATGTCGAACGTTCAGCTTGAATGTTTCTGACATGAATAGAAAATAACAATTATTATATTACAAACCATTACTGGCATCAGAAGAGAATCAACACATGGATATAAAGTTAATCAACGGGCAATTATATATAATATTTACCTGAATTTGAGCATGGGTAAAGGTCACCAGGTTGGCCATTAATGGTGTAAGCATCAGACAACACGGGGTCTCCTCCACTTCTACGAAAGTCATTGTAAACCTGAACAATATCTTGTTTCCACCATTCTCCTGCATTTTTACAAGTCACATGTATAATTAACATCACATGTATGTCTTGAAAAACTTGAGAGCGAATACATGAGTTTAAAGTCTAGTTCTCAAATAAATACCTAATATAATGGGAACTTCTGCGTGCGGTTTTGAGAATGGATAGGTGGTTCCTGGCTTATGGATTACGAGACAAAAAGTTAAAGAAGCACGCGTAGGGTGGATGTTTCTTAATGGATAAGAACGAGTTCATGGTTTGGCTTCAAATATAAAAAGCTGGTCAATTATTTTGAATGTTTCATGCTTTATGGGCTGATGATGGGAAGCCAGCTGCTAAATTCATTCATTTCTTCGTTAGCCCTCACCGTTTTTTTTTTTTTTTTTTTGCATTAGGTGTAGAGTAGAAAAAAGTTTGTAAAAGAATATATATACTCACATAATAAATTATGAAAATCCAAAACCAACAAATGTAGAAAGTCAAAGGCTAAATAAATATTCTAAAGCCTTTGAAATTGCGATACGGTCAACTTTTTTTTTTCCTTAAAAAAAAGAAAAGGTCATTGATTTCTTTGATATTTCAATGATAGCAACAGCTAAGATTCTTTTCAATCATTAAACTTATCTCGCTACACATTCCAATTTGAATTAAGAATTTTGGGTACAAATACATCAATTAGTTTATAATTATCGATTCGTTAGTTAAATTTAATAATATTAAAAATAAAGGTCATATATTAATTATAATTGTTCATCTTTCGCTTTAGTCAAGTGTAGTATGTGTTGATTACCAAAGGTATATGTCAATTGCCACCTTTTATTTTCGCCTTATTTTTATAGTTTCATCTATACGAGAAATTCCAAAATAATCTTTTAATATGATCAATATTAATATAATATTTATTATATATAATTAATTAAAGTGTCAAGTTATTCATAAACCTTCAATAGCAACGCACACATACAAAGTTATATTCATAGTTGTCAAACTCTTAAGTTAACTCTAAGAGTTTAACATTTATATGTTTCCAACTTACAAATCATATCAATTCACCTACAAACTCAGACCACATATAAACTTGATTAAACTTGTGATTTTATCTCCGACTTTATCATTTTTACATTTCTAACTTACAAAATTGTGTCAATTAATTCATAAATTCATACTAGATACAAGTTTCATTAAACTTGTTGATCAATCTTGTCAATTTTTTTTAGTTGAACGAGTTAAGTATATACTATGAAAAATTCAATTCATAAAAATTATAGGACCTAATTCAAAGAAAAAAATTCAAATGAAAAAACCAATATTAATAAAAAAAGAAACAAAAATACCAAAAATAAGTTCTCCTATTTTAAAATTTTTATGTCTTGTAGATACTTTATCAATGAAGATGAGTTTAATTTCAATGATTTATATTTTTAGTATATTTAAATTAAATTATAGTCATATTTTCATGACTATTTATTAATAAAGGTAAACTCTTACGAGGTTACAATCTGAGTTTGCGATACGAGTTTGTATTCCTATCATGAGTTTAGTTAAACTCACAAGTTTAACAACCTTGTTTATACTACTTATCTTGAAGACAAACACTTATATTAAATGTTTATAATAAAAATGAAACCGTCATATTTCAACGAAGCCTACAATAAATTGAATACTTACTGGTTTAACGCAATTGTTAGGTTCAAAATAGAAATTATATTTCTGAATATTTTTAATGAGTTACATTTTCAATGATGAAATCAATATTTTAAATGATATTTTAGTTGTAGACGAGGACGTTTTCAAAAAAAAAATGCTTAAATGAGAGCGGTTTGTGTGTAGTTTGAGGGGTTTTGAGATCAGCATGAATGCATGACTATGCGTAAGAATATAATAATATTCAATATTTTTGGTTGCCTTCGTGTTTTGCGGCTTTAATTTGCCATGAACTAAATACTTGGTCGTTAAAGCTATATTATATTGAGTATTCTTTCAAGTCCTAACTAAATGTTGATCAGCTAAATATCTATTCATATATAACAGTATGTATGTGGGTGATAAATATAGATTAAAGTTAATTAATTAAGTGAACAGAGAAATAAACACAATAAAATTATTTACGAACAACACCAATTTATTAACAACACCAATCCGCTATAATCCTTCTAACTAAACACCGAGAAAACTGGTCAAATATCGGTCCACCACCAATAAATCAAAACCATTAATATTTGAGAAAATAACAATAAAATCCCTTTAAAATATATAGATGATAATTTAATCTCACGAAATGTCATAATTACCTAAAGTCCTTAGGAACTTTTTGTCATCAATAAATTTATATAAATTACCAAATTACCCTTATTGAAAATAAATGATTCACAATTTTTGTTTAAATATTCACAACTTTTTTTATATATCTGCAATAATGCAACAGCATATCACAACTTTGCATATTCAATTTCTTATTTGCTATTGTATTGTTATGAATACAAGAATAGAAGTTGTGAATATTTAAACAAAACTTACGAAACATTTATTTTCAACAAAGGTAATTTGATAATTTATATAAATTCATTAAAAAAAAATTTCTTAGGGACTTCAAGGAAATTATGGCATTTTGAGGGACTAAATTATCATTTATATATTTTAGAGAGATTTTATTATCATATTTTCTTAATATTTCTGCATTAGATAAATATGTTTTAATAATAGATTTAATAAATGATTATGATTAGGAAAATCTAAGAGAAAAAGATGATAAACAAATAAAAAGATTCCTCACCCACGCATGCTATATGTACAATTAGAGTTATCAATTAGAGTTGAGCCCGTCAAGCCGGCCCTTTTAAGCCTAAAAATAACTAGAGCCAAGCTTCTACTTTAGAAGGAAAAATAATAATTTGAGCTTAATAGGCGTACCTTTTTTAAGCCCAAAAATAAAAGGGTTGGTCCTTTATGGCTAGGACCGGCCCTTTTAAGCCCTTTTATTATTTTTTTTAAAATTATAATATAAAAAATAGAAGATTAAATATATAATTAAAAGAAATGAATATATTAGACTCATTCGTCCCTCATTCATTCATTTATTAAGATTTAGCTAATAATGTTAGCCAAGGGTAATTTTTATTGGTATTAATTTTGATATTACTATTTGATATTAGACCTTAATGTTTAAGTTTTTATTTATTTATTGTGGTGTAAATTGATTTAAATTTATTTATTAAACTTAATTTTATGTAAAAAAACTATTTTTAGAATTGATATAAATATATTTTTTTAGAATTTTAAATTGAAAAAAAAAAGTAAAAAAATATAGGGCTAGGGTCGAGCCTTATAAAAGGGAGCCTTAAAACATAATTAAGCTTATTAAGGCCAATCCGCTTAGACTCTAGCCCTTCAAGGGCCAACCCTTTAAGGCCAAGCTAACCTTAATTGATAGCTCTAAGTACAATTTACTTTCCTTGCGTGCCTTTCATAAAAAAGACACACCTTATCCATCCTTTGATGGGGATTGAGATGGTATCTAGATCAGGCCTTCTTTACCCCCCCATTTCTTCAACTATTTTTTTAATTTAAATATATATTTTTAATATTTACAAAATATTATACTCCTATTTATTTATCTATATTTTTCAAAAAAACTTTTTTTTTACTTTAGATTTTGCAAGCCTCTTAAAAGTGTCTAATATTTTGTTGTTTTCTTATACAATGAATAAGTAGTGGAGAGAAAATAATGATAAGATCTTACCAACTGCAAATTTAGAATGATTATTAAGATCTATAATAACTTCTTTGCTTCTAGCTATCCAATTCCATTTATCTACAAACCCTATCATATTTTTTAAAAAAATTATCATCAACAACTAATGATATTTTTAAAATTTTCCATGTTAATATTATTATATACTAATAAAATAATATTTGACAAATGAAAAAATTATTTATTTTCATTTTATAACTTTAATCTTCAAATAATATTTTACAAATTGTCACATATAATGATATATAAGATATAAAATTAAAAATAATATCTCAAGTTAATCCTAGTTGGTTCAACCATGATTCAATCATGGTCTGATTATTGATCTCTCAAATTAGTGCCTGGTTGGTTTAAAACTACAATGAATAAGTAGTGAACAATAATATTAAATGACAAATATAATTAAATTAGAGTACTCCTTTCACCCCAATTTATAAGATATATTTAGATAAAATCACAAAAATTAATAAAGCTCATCAAATACACTTTACAATATTATTTTTTAAGACAAAAATATAAATTTCTAAAAATGTCTCCTTATTGTATAGTATATTTGGAAAAGAATATTAGAAAGAGAATATCATAGAAAGGATAATATTAAAAAAATATTATTAATAGAACGTTATTTTGTCAAAATATTTTATACTTAGAAACATTGAATTTTCATCCCAAATATCTTATAAATTAGGATGGATTAAGTATTATTTTAGCCTTTAGCTTATTATTCATTTCGATGTGCGGTTGGTAGTGGAAAAGGTCGAATTGCAATTAAAACTTATGTATGACAAAGCAAAGTTGAAGAAGTATTCTATCAATGTGGAAGTTTCTTTGGATAAGAACAAGTTCATAGTATTCCAATAACGTAAAAAGAGTCAATTTTTTGAAAGTTAACTTTTTGTTTCTTTTTTTGACCAGAACTTTTTGTTTCTGTTAGGTGTAAAATACACAGTTTTTCAGAACGGATTGCAAATTATTATCGAAGACTTTACGACAGATGCATTATAACTTTACGTGATTCCCGACGTGATTCCCACCCCAAATAAAGACAAAACATTTTGATGATGGATCAAGGCTTATGATAATAATAACAATAATTAATAAATGATGAAAACCCAAAATTGTCAAATATAGAGTCAAATGTTTAAATTTAAAAAAAAAAAAAAGACACCGAAGACAATTTGAATAGCGTTACTGTAACTGATTGGCAAAAAACACCAGTTTATTCTTATCATTGACATTTCGACCATAACATAACAGTTGTTCATCAAATATATTTCTTTCGTTTTCATTCCTATTCCCGAAGATTAAATAATTACCTTTTTATTGAAAAACTAAACAAGAAAAAAACTATTACTACAAACAAATACACAATAAGAAAAATACAAACTTTGGGGATAGAAACAAAAATTGGTAGTGCTTGTTTTAATAGCATTTTGGCATGTCTAATGGTGGTGGTAGCATCTGCTCATGTGAATTGTTACCATTCTTCACAATGAAAGTCATA